TGTGTGTGTGTGTGTGTACATACGTTTGTGTGTGTGTGTGTGTGTGTGTGTGTGTGTGTGTGTGTGTGTGTGTGTGTGTGTGTGTGTGTGCTGACATCTGAGATCAAATTTGCTACAGTGAAAACCCCCCTATTGTGAAAAATTTCTTGCTGCAAACATGATTTTGTTGTAGAGGAGTTTCACCGTATTAGGGCTGGGTGATATGACTAAAAAGTAGATCACGATATAAATATATTGGTCGTTATATGTTGAATTTTTTTCTTTATTTTACAATTGAGAATAAGGACCTAGAGAAAAAAGTTTGAATTTAGGTAATTTTATGTATTTGTTTATTTATTTATTTAGCATTATTTTAATCTTCAACTGATCTAAAAAGTCACATAAACTGGCCAATATAAAAATTAAATACAGGCCTTGTTTAGCACAATGTGCTCGGTGGGGCTCGACGATATGGCTGGAAAACGTTCCACAATATAACCATTTAATATCACGTCAATATTGATCAGGATTTCTTTGTTTTACCTATTTGAAATAAGAAAAACAATGAACCCTTTGTGTGTACATTGTAATGTGCAAAGATGCTCCTTAAGCATTGCATTGTATAAGTGCATCTTTGTGCACGACGCTGCCCCAATGCAGTATCGTTTTTTGCGGGACCATGATTGCCGTCGTCCATTCTAATTTTAATCGTGTTGGGTTGCCGAGGATCTGACATGGCTAACACTTGCATGAGCACGTCAAAGACAGGGAGCTCCTTTATTTGTACATCAGGTCTCCATCCGGAGCTGTTTGATCAGCTTAGTATGCAAGAGTTGTACTGAGTCGCCCAGTCATTTATTTGAATGTTATGCTGCTGCTTCTTGGTTGGTTTAGTGGCTGCTTTTTCCTGTTTTGGGCGGCTGCACGCTGCCCACAACACCTACACCGGGGTCGGGGTTTGCTGTCTTTTTTTTTTTTTTTTTGCTATCAAACATAGAAGGCATTTTCTGTTGATATCAATCATGCGTTTTTCGCCATACCTATAGATATCGAATTATCGCCCAGCCTTACTCTCATGGCATTGGTACTTAAATTGGTGTAACCTCAAACAAGGAAGTACTTGAGGATGTCAAACTCCATTGTCATTCAAGACCTTTGCATCTATTTCTTCAGGTCAGGTGCTGAGCGCCCACGTGTCTGGCCGAGTGGTGATGAAGAGCTACCTGAGCGGAATGCCCGAGTGCAAATTCGGCATGAACGACAAGATCGTCATCGACAAGCAGGGCAAAGGTGGAGCGTCCGATGATGCTGGCAAGAGGTGAGCAGCGCAGGAAGTTGCACTCGGCCTTCTACGTCTGTGTGTTGTCTTGTTCAGTCTGTAAAAAGACAAATGTTATATTTATTTGGATCCCCCCCCCTTTGTTTTGTTTTGTTTTTTTTTGTTTCTTGTTTTTTTGTATGCATCTCTTCTTTCTGTCCCTGTCTTTCTTTTCTATGTGCTGTATATCAGTGATTTAGGGGGAGGAAGGTACTGTACTGACATGATTCTTCAGTAACTCTCAATCTCTCTCACACACACACACACACACACACAGAGGACACAACATAGTTGGTTCCTGACGTCTTTGGGCAGTGACGAGACATTTTTATCATTTTGAGACATTTTTATCATTTTGTCTTAGACATCAGTGGAGTGCATTTTGGGGGCAGGGAATGATTTGAGTGAAGGCTCCCCCCCCACAAAAAAACAAATATTTTCACATTTAGGATTAAGAGTGCAACTATTTAAAAAAGTTTTAATTTCCATCAATTTATTCAATAAAACATGACATTATTTCAAATTGACAGTGCAGAAAATGCACAAACCTAAATTAAGTCAGATTTCATTTCTGGTTTTGTCTGCAGCACGTCAGAAAAAAAAAATTATCAGAAATGACTATCGATAAATTAAATTATTGATAAAATGATTATCAGTTGATTTAATTTTTGATGAGTTGTCAGTTAATTGATAAATCGCTCGGTTTCAGAGTTATCGCCAACTTAAATTATTTACCTTTTCTTCAGGGGCTTAATAGTGTCTGGAGGTTTGACCTAGTTGTAAATATAAGCTGGTTTTTGTAATGCTCTGTGAAATAACGACATGAGACCAAATAGTGATTTTCTTCCAGGAAGATGCCTTGTCAGGCCAACTGCACTTGCTGCCATTTTAAACATATTCTTCTCAATAAAACAATTACCGGTGATATTTTTGAGTGCCCAAAAATTGAGAAACTCTGCATAAAAGTAGCTGTAATTCCTTAATGGTAAATGTCATTATTGTGAAATATTTTAAATTAAAGGGGCATACGATGGAGAAAAAAATATATCGATAATAGTTGCATCAACGTTTAGTTTTGTTGGACGTGCTGATTGGCATTGGCTAACATGCATTTAGCAATCTGCACTTCTGCGCTTGCTCAACATGCAACCCTCGTAGCTCTGCCTCTCGTTGTCATGGTAACACCCAGCAGTATATGGGGCAGTGATGACACTCACACATTTACATGGCACAGGAGTAACATGGAAACAGCCCCCCGCCCCAGAACAGGTTAAATTCATGTCACTAACTTATAATTATGAACTATTCATTTCATATAAAACTCAATAACATTACCATTAAAATGCAGAGATGAAAGTCCTCCGGATTTTCCCGGAATTCCGGGTTTTTCAAATTTTTATGAAAATTTCTCCGGAGAATTGAGGAAAATAAAATTAATCCGGATGTTAGTTGACAACATTGGACGAAGACGCGTTTGAGTTCGTTGTATTGCTTTCACGAGCGTAGCCATATTGAGGCACTAACACTAGTAACAGTAAAGAGATTTTTGTTTGTGTAATAACGACAGAAGACATGATGGCGTTTGACTAATGGTTTAGTAGAACGAATGGCAACTCGCAACAACAGTAGCAAGCGTGATTTTGCCACTTGGGTTATACCATCTCAACTAGAATGTGGGGGATAGTCCCCAAACAATTTTCGTCTCTTTATAAACACACTTGCTAAACCCCAGTGGAACGAATAAAAGACGCCGTGGACAAGACAGTTGTCGTAAAAAAATATATTTGGTCAAAAAGGGAAAAACACAGATTGGCAGAAAATCGTTTCCGTCCGACTTCGAGTGTCGTCTCGGCTAACTTAGCTTA